CGCTGCCGCGGCCCCGCCGCCTCTCACTGCCGCTCCCGCAGCAGCAGGAGGTCTGCGTCGTGGCGCTGGGCTGCCCTGGCGGTGCGGAGCAGGCCGGCGCGGCCCTGCACGCCTGCGCCCGGGCCGGCCGCTGGCTGGTGCTGGACAACTGCCACCTGCAGCGGCACTGGCCGCCCGCGCTGCTGGCCGCGCTGCACCGCGTGCTGGCGGCCGTGGAGGGTTAGCGCCCCGCGGCAGGACGCTGCACGTGCCCCCTCTCGCCCACGGCCACCCCTGGCTGTCCCACGCCACCGCAGCCTCGCTTCTCCCTGCAGACACAGACGTTGCACCACAGCTCTCAGGCCCTGAGGAGGAGCACAAAATCCACGCCAAATTCCGGCTCTGGTTCATCGCTGCTGCCCATAGCGCCCATGCTCTGCCAGGTGATGCCTTTCCATGAAGGCGATGCCCTTCCACGCAGTGTGTGACGCCGGCATGCCGGTCTTGGCCTTGCTCTCCCCTGGGGTATGGTGCAAAGGGTCCTCCTAGCTGCCCAGCGCCACCCTGTTCCCCAACRCGAGGGTGCTGCAGTGCAGGCGCCGGTGCCACCGCAGCTCTGCTGCTGCCAGGCCCCGGGCAGGGGGACGCAGGACTAACATGCTGGTCTTGCAGGCCTGCTGCGCCACCAGGCCGCTGCCGTCTTCTGCGAGAGCCCGCTGGACGCGAAGGCGCTGCTGCTGCACGGCCACGCGTGCGTGCAGGGCCAGCCCGGCTGGCCGGGGCTGCAGCGGCCGGGCCTGGCGCTGCTGGTGCTGCACGCGGCGCTGCTGCACCGCCAGCTCTACGGCCGGCGCCTGCAGGCCGGGCGCTACCTCTGGTGAGCCGGGCGCGGAGGGCGATGCCGCGGCCGCCCCGAGGTGCTGAGGTCCGTCAGGACCGGGACGGGGCCGCCGGCCGCTCTAACGGGGCCGCCGCTGCCTGCCCAGGACCGAGAGCGAGCTCCTGGCTGCCGCGAGCGCCTGGCAGCGCCTCCCGCAGCAGCTCTCCAACCCCGGCGAGGCGCTGGCGACGCTGGCAGGTACGGCAGCACCCGGGGCTCCCCAAGGAGCCGCACACTGCGCCCGGGCAGCAAAGGGCCCCCCAGCCGCCCGCACGCGGGCCGCTGCGCTCCCCGCTCCAACGCGCAGCACCGGTGGCTCCCACCGCTGCCCCCCTCGCCGCTCCTCCCAGGGTCGGTGCTGTACGGCGGCCACGTCCTGGACGCAGGAGACGCGGCGGCGGTGCAGAGCCTGGCCCGGGAGTGCCTGCAGCCCACGGCTCCGCTCCCGCCCGGCCCCGGCCTCCAGAGCCTCCTCGCCGCGCTCCAGAGCTGCTGCGGCCCAGGTGGGAGGAGGCGCCTTGCGCCAGCAGCTCGGCGCTGCGGCCGGCTTTGGGCCAAGGGAAGGCCGAGCACGCGGCCGCTGCGGAGCAGGGAGCGCAGGGCCCCACGCCGTGCCCGGCCCCCAGGGGTGCCCAGCGCGGAGGCGAGCGAGGAGCTCCAGCGGCGCGTGGAGCAGCTGCCCAGCGCTGCGGCAGCCGCCGCGTGCGGCGCGGCGCAGGGGCTGCAGGACGAGGTGCTGGCGGCCCGCAGCCGGGCGCTGCTCCGCGACCTGCGCCGCTGCCAGGAGCTCTGGCAGCCCCCGGCGCCCCCGCCGCAGCAGGCCCTGGGGCAGCTCGCGGAGCAGGGCCTCGCGCTGCTCGTGGGGCTGCAGCAGGCCCTGCAGCTGCAGGCCTGGGAGGTGGGAGCCAGACACAGGGAGCGCGAGCCCCGGCCTGGACCTTGGCACCAGTTCCTGCTGCGGGAGTGTGGCAGCTTGCTGGTGCTGCTGCGGCAGCTGGAGAAGGACCTCAGCTGCGTGCAGGAGCGGCTCAGGGGGGGCAGCTGCCCGTCCCCCCGCTGCTCGGCCGTGCTGCGGGCGCTGCAGCAGGGCCGGCTGCCGCAGCCGTGGCGGCGCTGGGCCCCCGCCGGGCCGCCCGTCCCCGGCGCCTGGCTGCACAGCCTGCAGAGCCGCTGCCAGCTGCTGTGCAGCTACCTGCCGGCCGTGGGAGGGCAGCCCGTGCTGCTCTACCACCTCCCTGCCTTCCTGCACCCGCGCCGCCTGCCCACGGCCCTGCTGCAGGAGGCGGCCCTGGCCGAGGGGCAGGAGCTGGAGCGGTACCGGCTGGAGCAGCAGGTAGTGGCACGGGCACGGGCAGCGCGGGGGCAGAGCCCGGGCCACGTCTCCTCTCCCTGCCCCGGCCTTGCAGGTGCTGCCCAGCCTGCCTGCCACCCCTCCGGACACGGGCCTCTTGCTGGCGGGCCTGGAGCTGCACAACGGCGCCTGGGACACGCAGGCGGCTGCGCTGCACGACACCGACTCTGCGCAGCCCTGCCCGCTGCCCCCGCTCTGGATCAGAGCCGTGCACAAGGAGAAACCTCTGGCAGCGAGCGGCACCCGGGCACAGTATCACTGCCCGGTCTTCCTCGGCCGGCCACACGAGCCGGYGCGCCTGGGCAGCCCGCGGGCCGTGCTGCACGTGGCGCTGCGCTGCAAGGTGTCGCCGAGCCTGTGCACGCAGCGCCGCGTGCACCTCGTCAGCCACCTGCCGAGCCCCACGGGAGGAGAGGCTGGAGGCCACGCGCAGGTGAAGGAGGTCCGTGCTGCGGGAAAGCCTCTTCCCTCGCGGCTCCAGGCAGGAAAGGCTCACCAAACAGCAGGGGCGGAGAAGCAGGCCACAGGTACAGAAATAAATTGATATATTAGTGTGTATAAAACATGCTGCTTCCTCTGTACAGTGCCCTTGGCGGGCGCAGGCTCCCCACAGGGAGTTCACACATATATAAATAAGGCCCAGACAGCTGCATACAGTATTTACAGCCCGCGGGGGACTAGTGCCTGCTCCGGGGCCAGCCCCACCAAGACCAGCTGCTACGCCCAGCCCGCGGGATCCTCCACCCCAGCCTGGACTGGCCAGGTTCATTTCAGGTCCACATCGAAGTCCAGCACCAGCAGCTTGGTCTCCTCCGTGCCATTGCGGCTGCCCACTGCACACACGAGCTTCGTGTTGGAGGCACGGATGCGCCACACGACACCCCCGCTGCCCCCACTCTCTAACGCAACCAGGTTGCGCACAAACTCGCCCGTCTTGAGGTCCCAGAGCTTGACAGTACCATCATCTGAGCTGGTCACCACAAACTTGGAGCTGAACTGCAGGCAGGTCACGGCACTCTGATGCTTGCTGGGACCTGGAGGCAGAGGGTATCTGTTGGTCATCCTGCGCTCCCATCTCCAGCCTCAGCTCTTAAACAGCCCTGTCTGGCTCTGCCACAAACAGGCAGCCATGTGTCACCCCCACTGCTCTGTGTGGGAGCTAGAAATGAGAGGGCCCCTCTCCAACACCCCTGTGAGGGCAGCTCTTCCATCCCCCCTCACTCACCCTGCAGCGTCTGCAGGCACTGGCCCGTCTTGATGTCCCAGATCTTGACTGTGGAGTCAGCGTTGCCAGACACCAGGATGTTGTCACGTAACTCCATGCCACTCGTGAGTGACTGATGTCCCATGAGAGTATGTAGGCAATTCCCGCTCTCTACATCCCACACTCGAATTGACGTGTCCAGGGAGCCACTCACAATGTGTGTGCCATCAAACTGCGCAGAGAAATGCAGGTCAGCGTGGTCTTGCCCAGCAAGGGCAGGGGTGTTCTGGGCAGGACCGGATCAGGGATTTAGGGCAGAGCGGATTAAGCGATGTGCTCATGTAGCAACTGTCTAATCAGGCCGCACATGCATTAATGTCCCCGCTCTGGGGAACAGACACGGCCTGTGTGTCCCTGCAGCACAGGCACGGGGAGGGATGGGGGTGGAGGCCACCTCTCACCTGCAGGAACAGCTGGGAATTTTTGTCCCTGCAGCAYGCGAGTGGGAGGGAAATGCTGCCAGGACCTTACCTGCAGCGAATAGACGCGGTTGGTGTGTCCCTGCAGCGTGTGAGTGCAGCTCTCACTCTCAGGGTCCCACACTTTCACCGTGTAGTCGTACGCGCCGCTCACCACCTTGTGCCCATCGTACTGCACACAGCGCACAGCGGCCACGTGGCCCATCAGCACGTGCAGGCACTGCCCGGTCTCGATGTCCCAGAGGCGCAGCGTGGCGTCCCGTGAGCCACTCACAACCCTATGGGCAAGGGTGCACTTGGGGCCTGGCTGTGTCAGCTCCAGACCTCACTCGATCCAGRCAAACTTGGAAACAGCACTTTCCCTCAGGGCAGCCCCAGCTGCTTCTCCCCATGGACATTTCTTCCCACACAGCATCTTGCAGCCACAGATCAGCTAATTCCTGAACCCCTCCACACCTTCAATGGCCCAACAGCCCAAACCACCCCCAGCCGAGGCCCCCATACCTGTTCCCATGCAGATGCATGCAGCGCACGGTGGACGTGTGCCCATACAGCGTGTGCACGCATTCGCCTGTGTCTGCATTCCACACTTTGAGCGTCCGGTCTGTAGAACCGCTGATGACAATGCTGTCCCTCATCTGCGAGGACCAGACACCCCCGGTGTGGCCAACCAGGGTCTGCACACACTGCCAAGAACAACACAAGGAGATGCTACTTTGAGAACACCAGAGCAACACAGCGAGAGGAAAAGCAAAGAGCAGGACCTTCTCTGCACAGGGACTGGCAAGTCGCTTTAGGTCAGCAGGCCCTGACCCTGCACACTCAGGAACCCATGAAAGAATCCATGATCGCTCCGCTCCTTACATGTCCTTAGAGAAATTGAGTTTTCTTGCCCTTTCTGGATCGGCAGGATGGTTGCCTTCCAGTGGGAACACACATGTGGCCAGCTCCTGCTCACTTGCCACAAGCCTGGCCTCTAGCTGAAGTCAACTCTTGCCACCGCTCCCGCAGTCATGAGAGCAGCCAGACCCTCTCCGGAGCTACACTGTGCCAGAGGCGAGACCAACCCACCGCAAGGCCATGGCCCGTTACAGCTCCACCCAGCCCAGCAGCACGGCTCTGTGCCGGAGCAGCAGCCTACAACTCAACTCCRGGCAGCAGCTCACCTCTCCCGTGACCGCTGACCACACTTTGAGCGTGTTGTCATCCGAGCCGCTGACTATCCGGTTGCCACAGAACTGCAGGCAGGTAATGACGTGGTCATCGTGTCCCTTCAGCACCTGAAGAGAACAGCACAAATAAGAGAGGATCAGCGGGCTACTCAGGCCTCCTGATGTTGAAGRATCACCAGGGCACAGCAAGCAGAACTGTCACATTGAGACAATCCTGGAAATGTGAGTAAATCCCCTGGCCTGGCATTCAGGGTGACCCTTTCACTAGGGATCCTTGCAGCACCAAAGTCCAGAGCCATCCACCATGGCACTGCCCTATATCAGCTGCCAGCTGCAGCCGTGAGCTCTGCTCAGATTTGGTTGCTGCAGAAAGGGATAGGAGATGCAGGCAGATGATGGGACCTCCAGCTTCACGGAAGCTAAAGTTCAAATACTTCTGTGTGGGTGCCTCTGACCTGTGACTAAGGAAGACAGGCCAGACATAGGAACCCTTTCCAAGGCACGTTTAAGTTTTTTGGTGCTGTTCCTATCATATTGGCCATGTGCATTTCTTTGTTTTTTCCTTCCTGGACTGGCTTTCTGCACGTCAGATCTCTAGGCCCTGTGCCCCTCTGTGTGGGCTTCGGAAGGCACCCACCTTCGGAGCTTTGAGCTCCCCGCTGCGCCAGTTCATGTCGATTTTGTGCTGCCGCATGAATGCGAATTTCCAAGGGCTGTACATGAAGCCAGGGCTCAGCAAGCGCCGCTTCCGCAGGTTCAGGGGCTCCTCTATACCTGTGGGAGGAAGGCACAGCAGGATGCACACTCTGTCACAGTACAGGAGTGGTCCGCGCCCTCAGCCTGGCTAAGATGATGCACAGCTGTGGGATCCCACTGTAGATCCAGCTGCAACATGACACATACCCCACGGAGGAAGATCTTTACCTTCTTCACGGCATTTCTCTCTCCAAAGCAGGTTATCTTCAGCCAAGACCCTCCAGTAGCGGCAAGTCTGGGCAGCACGGAGCAAGTCCCGAGGCTCCAGGAAGGAGAGGACGTAGAGTGCCAGCTGCGGGAGGGGAAGCCAAGTCACAAGGTAACAGAGGGCTCCTGCCACTGGCAATGACGAGCAGCACCAGGGCAGCAGCACCGCATCCCTTGTCCTAACTCACCTCTTTGGGCAGCAGGGAAATGAAATCTCTCTGGAACTGCGGCTCAATGACCTGCATCATGTACTTGATTTGGGAGGGCTCGCAGCGATCAATGAGCTCATCCAGAGCTAGCAGCTTCTCCGGGCCGCTCCACCGCTGAGGACAGGGGCACATCAGTCACGATGCCTGCACACACGGCAGGCCCTCACAGCCTCCTCTGCCACTACGTGGTGCCCGTGCCCCCCAAGCCCCAGCGGAGACAACAACCAGCCCACCTGGTGGGTAGAAGAGTAGGACACACTAGCCAGACCTCTGGAGCAGGCCAGGGCTCCCCGGCCCAGACCCAAGACAAAAGGGAGCTGCTGGTGCACACGGGAGGTGCTGGGAGCTCCACGTGGCATGGAACATGGGTGCTGAGTGCTGGTGGACAAGACAACCCCACCCCAGGACAGACTGCATCCTGCCCATGGGAATCGGAGGAGGGCTAGCACCTTTTCTTTGTCTCTTTAGCCTAGGCAAAAACTTGCTAGAATCTGCCACGGGACCCCAATTCCTGCCCAGAATTGGTCCCAGGCAGCCAAGGGCTTCATGTCCTCGTGCCTGGCTTTCCAGCCCAGAACCTTTCAGTGCCCACCAAAACCAAGCCTTTGGCAAGGCTCACGTGCCTACCTGGAAGGTGCGAAGCCAGTCCTGCAGCTCGGGTGGAGGGGCTACCGAGGGGATGCGCCGGCGCCGGGCCTGGCCTGCTTTGGCATTGCGCAGGTCCCCAAAGGTGGTGGTGGGGCTGGGCATGCAGGGACCCAGGGTCCTGGGCCACAGCCGAGGAGAGCAGAGCAAAGGTGAGACGTGACAGCGCTGCTTTGGGCCACGCCATGCCCAAGGTTCTCAGACAAAGGCCATTATAAGCCAGAAACCACAAGCCTCCTTGCAGCTGGTCTCTTGGCCCACCCCTCCCATGGGGACCACAGCTACACATGCAGTCCCTTTACCACGACCTGCATTACAGCAGGTTGCCAAGATGACACAGGGCTGAGACCAGTAAGAAAAGCCCTCCCCATGCCCCAGAGCAGACTGTCACTCACGCTGCAGAGGCCTCCCTTTACCTGCTGTATTCAGAGCCTTTGCACAGCTTCTTGCCCGGGGAGAGGGCTCTGCCATCCAGGCCATTCTCCGACTTCCGCTTCATCTGCGAGGAGAGGAATAAATGTGGAGCACAGCCCTCTGCACACACAGAGCAGGGTGGAACACAGCCCTCTGCGCACAGACCAGGTCACCTATTATCTGGCAGTGGAGACAGAGTAGGAGACTGGGCCTAGGGACTTCCACGCTCACACTGGGGTCTGCAGAGGGAAGCCAAGAGCTCCTGAGCTCCAGAGCTGGCATTAGAGCTAACTTTGTGGGGGAGAAATGGAACTGGGCCCTTCCTCAGGGACTATCACACCCAAAAGGGGAAAGTCAACAGGGAGAAAGCCTGTCAGCACCCGAGCGTGGGCCCTCCCCAGGCACAGCCCAGGAGGGCCAGGCAGCTCCACAGCCGGAGCTCGAGTGTGGAGGGGCACGGCCACGGACTAGCAGCAGCCATTCAGAGGTGTGGGGACAAGCACGGGGACCCCTTCCAAGCACCAGCAGCCACCCAGGAGAACTGTGCCTGCACAGGGCAAGTCTCACCACGGAGCTCCTGGCCCGGCCAGCACCCTGATGGCGTGGCCAGCCCCAAGCCTCCCTGGCCCCACAGTGCCAGGCAAGCCCAGTCCCATTGTCCTGGGGGTCTCCACTGGCACTGCCACTCAACGCACACCGATCCCAGCCCTACTGCAGCCCACAGTCCGCACTGGCAGTGCCACCACAGCAAGAAGTGCCAGCAAGCTCCAAGGCC